TCAGATTATCTAACCTTAGTTACATCCCATTTTGATTACTGCAATTTGTTCTACATGGATATATTAGGAAACTCTTTAAAAGTTGCAGTTGGTATAAAATGCAAAAATCAATGACACCTAGACCGAAAAGTTCTGCACTATTTTTCAGAAAATGTTTTATTAAACATTTTTAAGAAGAGAAAAAAGGAAAAGGGGGAAAATATACACACACCAACAAAAGAAGAAAGAATGAAATGTATACAAGATGAATAAAAAGGAAATTTGTAGGCATGAGAGAAATAGGTTTTTTTAAATATTTCTTTGATTAGTTTTAAATATCTAAATATACTACAACATTTTTAAACTACCACATATTGCCAAAATCCAAGTATCAGTATCAAATATCTACATTAAATATCAATACCAAAAACATTACAAAAATCATAAAATAAGATTAAGAATTGTAGGAATTTCTATTTAGGAAGCATAAAGTATCTATGAGCAATTATCACGCACAAAGTTAGTTCAATGTACTGCATGGAAAAGTAATATTTAATTAAAAGTATCATGTTGGAAAGGAAAATCAGCGTTTAAACTTTGTTTCATTCTGTTATTTATAAATCCCATTCAGAAATCATTGAATTTTGCAACATTGCAATCCAATATAGAACCATAATCCAGCCTGGTCATTACATTTCCAACAATTGTTAGACAATGAACTATCCATTTTAGTCATCAATGCTAATATACCAGCAATAAAACCAGATTTTCTCCTAATACTCAATGTGATATTTTTTTTTCTATTGAAATTCCTGTCATTGTTTATCAATTGTTGTATTATATCAAAAATTTGCACCATTTAAACAAGCAGCCTTTAATGCATTGAGTCTGGTTGTTTATTGTTTACTTGGCACAATTTAACCTTTAAAACCCCAATGGCTTTGTCATTGTAAATCTGTTCAGCTGTTTTGAAATGAAATGAACTTTAATCCTTAATCAATAATTACCTCATGTGAGCTACCTAATGAAAATAATTAACTATTAAGAATCAGGAGGAGTGGGGAGGAATCTAAATCTATCAAAACGAAGCATACAAAGTGCTAATCACAGAACAAGGAGTACATTTATGTGGTTCTAATTTTGCAATATTAAACCTTCAAGCTCAAACTTATTTATCAGGGCCAACAACCTAAAGCCACTGCTTCGTCTTGCTTTGTTTTGAAACAAGGACAAAAAGTAGGCACAATGAATCATGATATCAGCTTCATTTTTTCCTTGAACAGAAGATTTTATAACCAACTCATCATTGTAACTGCCCTTTTCTGCAACTTTTCCAATTCTATGATCTACTTTTTGACATGGGGCAAACAATATGCAGTAACTCCAAAGCAATTTTGTCAGTTATGCTAGTATCTCTGCCTATTATCAAGTTCTTCCCTAATAATCCTTGGCACTAATTTACCCTTTCCATCACTGAGCCTGTCATTTTCAGTGCACTATCGAACAAACATCTCTATCTATCAAATACCACAAGCAAAAATGGAAAACATGTAAGAATCCGTTGTTTTTACAGCAGCAAAATCAGCACATCAGGATAAAATATGTAAGGTTGCTTGTCTTTTCTGAGAGGCACTAAGATATATGACAAGAGTCACTAGAAAAAGAATCTTTACTTAGCTTTAGTTCAATCTCAATTTTGCTTTATCACAAAATATTGGCATTTCTGAACTGATACAAAACAGTGGAACATGACTTTATCACAAATCTGCCATTAATGACTTATACAGTACGGCATCTATTGAAACCCTGCAAGAGATATCCCAAGAAACAGAACAATTGGGAGAGACAACAGTAATAGGAAGCAGCAGATAGGAAAAGCTGTTACAACTACTCCTCACACTTTTGAGAACAGCAACCCAAGAACAAGGTTTTGGCCTGTGGCAGGTTCCCCTTCTTTTTATCTTTCGTAGAGAGCTGCCTTCCCTGATCCTTCTTGATAGCATTGCTTAACAATTTGTGTATTCCTAATGTGGTGGCAAGTGTCTTATCTATGGACAAAAGAGAAACTCAACTGCAAGAGACTTCATTTAGAACCAGCTTTATGTCACTTGTTTAAAATCCTCTCTTTTCACAGCCTGCCCTATGCCAACAACAGAGAAACATTCAAGAATAGCTTCAAGAGTTTCATTTCAGTGGAGCTGACAAAGATGCGTATTAATTATATAAAACATTAAGCATAAATGCTGTCAATTTGAAAGTAAGATAAACAGGAAAAGGTTGGCAAGAGCTAAAGCAAGCAACCTTCCCTTTATCATCCATTCCAAAGGCCTGTGGTCATTCCTAAGGTTGGGAAGGGAACAAGCTAATAAATACACTCATACCATTTCCTAACCTCATCCATAAGATGTCACATGGGAGGAGTTTAACAAGAAAGCAACATCAAGGAGCACTTTTGTACGCCCAAGCTCCCAGTCTCTTTTCTATTCCAATAAAACGTTTGGAAACTTTCAAAACAATGCAGCTGTACTCACACTTTCTTCTATTACATTTGCCTCTAGCATTTCATTCTTTCTCTGTGGACTTTTCTCTGCTGACATTTAAGTTGTAAGCTTCTGGGGAAGCAAAGAACCTATCCAGTGCAATATACAAAGATGGAGTAAAATATGAATGCTACTACAATAAACATTAACTTTAGGCTTCTTAAGGGAACTTTCAAACTAAATGGTGAAAATAAAAAGAGACTGGGGTGTGCAAGTTATCAAAGCTGTTCTGAAAAAGTTACACTGAGTTATTAACAAAACCATAATTGTCAGATCAAGGTGCACATTCTCTATTATGATTTTAAACTACATGGATCTACTGAAGATAGAAGAGAGTTTTAAGAGAATTTAAGGCAGCATGATAAAACTCATAGTTATTTATGGTCTGTTCTCTTGTTTATTTTGTCCTACTGCTGTTTCTGGCAAAACTAAAGTCATGCAAAATTGTTCAGGGACAATTCTGCCGCAAAGGAAACAAACAAGCACATTGTGAGCAAGAACTATTTTTTGATTCCAGTTACAAAGATAACATTTCAGTCATTCCATTAAATAAAATCTTTACCAAAACTGGAAGTCTTAAATGTCTGAACATTTCATTTGCTTTTTCACGCTACTTCTTTCACAATTCTAACAAGCAAACTATAAACCTGAAAAATATGCAAATTTGCATAAACACATATACCAGATCTGTTGCTTAGTTTCAAATTTTCTTTTCAGAACCCCCATAATTCCACACTATATGATTGTATACTCTAGTCTATACACAGCAGCAAATAGCCAGCCAAGGAACATATGGGATGTGGTTTATAGAAGTATTTATTAGCAAATTTGGTAGTCCCTGATAATAGTCAGAGCTGTTCACAAATCAATATTTCTAACTACAGAGTATGAGATTATCTTAGATAGGAGGAAAAATAGTTCCTAATAAAACAAAGAAGAATAAATTCCTAAATAAATTTCAGGAAGGAGGGTAAATGACAAGCAGTGAGATCACATCTGGAGTACCTTCCACAATTCTGGGTATCACATTCCAGAAGTATATTGACAAGATAGAAAAGGTCAGTGGAAGACAACAAAGGTAATAAAGGAGATCTGGAGACATGCCTTATGTGGAGTTCTTCAAATTGGGGAAAAGAAAATAAGACTGAGGAGAGACATGATATTAATATCAGTATGGTATCAATATTCAGACACACAGAAACTATTTTCCAATGCTACAGAGAGTGGGACCAAAAATAATGGGTATAATTACATTTAAAATTTCATTTAAATCTAAAGAAAAATGCCCTGCCTGTAAATTCTGTATACAATAAAACAGACTACTACTAGAGGTTAATTCTCCATCTTTGGAAGTTGTTAAGAGGAGGGTTAAACCAGATAGTTTAATTAGTTTTCATATATTGCAGAGGTCTGATCTAACTCCACAATTCTATTAATTCTGTGAATTGATATGTAACATCACACCATAGTATCATCCTTATTTTGCCGTTCTAAAGCAAACAAAAAATGCTGTTGGTGCGATAGATGCAATTTTGTTGCTACCTGAAGCAACAGCAAAATCCTCAGCTGTTCCATCTTAATAAGCTACTCATACAAGCAAAGTGAAATGCAGTGTGGACATGCTCTCTTTGCAAGTCATGCAAATTTGCAAGCATGTTTTCATAAGAAATAGTTTGCCATTTTGAATGATTTGTCATCACTAGCAAGCTTGGTCATTTGATTATGCATTCTGACTCTAGGTAATTTGTGAGCAAGGCCCTGATATATACATGGAAGTTTCTATGCAAGAACAATTCATAAAACTTAGCCTCTACATCCTTGCTTTATTAGTTACTCTTCCATATTCTTGTCTTATTCCCTGACTGACACATCCACTAGGTGTCTAGGAAGAAAAAAGCAACTTGACCGAAGATTTAAAAGAAATGCCATGACTGTGTACAGCAGCGATGTCCAAGAAGGAAGGTGAAACTGACAAAATCTGTGCTGCATTGCAAGCCTCAACCAGCATTTTTATGAAAGTAAGAAACCTCTGTGGACACCCATGACCAGGAAAACATACACATCCAACTCAAATGTACACATTTCCATCACACATCATGGTGCAATTCATTCTAAGACACAGATTGTTGCTGTAATTTATATTTTTTTTCTTAGAAACGCTCCATAAATATTAGCCATGTTACGGAATGTGAATAATTCCCTGATTAAATGACAAGATTTCTTCAGAGAACCAAAGCTTTGTTTTGAGGTTGAAGGAGAAGCTGCATGCCGGTGGCCTACATAGGCATTGAGAAAAGCATTCAAATGATCCATCGACTGAAAAAAACCCAAACCAAGAACCCCATATTCATCATTTTCATAGCAACAAGGAAAACAGAAATAAAACTGTTGAAAAAGCTAAGCATGCTGTTTGCTAAACATTCTGCTTTTGAAGATGCATATGTCACTTTTCTAATTTAACAATGAAACTCCATCACTTACATGGCTCTCTGGTAATGAACTGAGGTACTGCATTGGGGGTGGCAGGAGTGCTGGGATTAGGAGTTCCCACTAATTTGCTCTTAGCCATCTTCGTATTGGCCTTTGCAAACTCTAGTCGGAGCGTCTGAGGGATTTCTGGGTCAAAACGAATTCCCTTTTGCAGAAAGAAAACAAAATAACAAGAATCATTTGATGTATCAGCTAAACTGAATTTTGCACTAAAGGTACACTCAAACCTGACAAGGCTAGCAACAGCATTACAACAAAGCAGAAGCTTCAAAGTGAAGATATCCAAGATGAAAGAGATGCCATTTTTCTGAGCTCTATCAAATAACAGCATGCGTTTAAAGACTCTGTAATCTTTGCCAAATAAAATACTTGATAGACAGCACAGGTTGCCATTAATATTATGCCATGTTATAATATTATAATATAGGACTGTTACTGTTTTATATTAACCTAAACCAAAGAGAGAAGGAAATTAGTGATGAAATATTTGGTTTAACAGAATTCTAAATCACTTTTCATTATGTGCAAACCTTCATAAAGCTTTGCACAAACAATAAATATGTTTTGCATGACAGAACCAGACAACTTGTATAAGAAAAAGAAACAAATACTGAAAAGACCATTGCAAAGTAGTTATTGAGAAGATCCAAATTTAACAAATAAGTTGCAACTAGATAGAAGCACCCAAGTTAAAATTAAATGCATGTGACCAATTCTTGATATAGCAGCATAAAAAGACTATTACTTTTAACCAGAGCAGTATCATAAATCCTACTGAGGTAATCGAGAAGTTTTAAATTGGGTGTAAGGCCAACTTCAGTTGAAAAGGATTTAAATAAAACAAAACCAAAAAACTAAAAATATTCAGGAGATCACTCAGAACAATATTTAATTTAATGTTTACAAACAAATAAACTGAATTTATAATAAGCATATAAAAGTTATCCTTAAACTACATCTCATAAAATATGCGCTGGCGTGAACAAACAGATCCAAACATCATCAACTACATGTTTGTTCTTCCCAAGTGAACCATAATATGTCAAGGACAACAATCTAATCATTTTCAAAAGAACTAAGAATGTTAAAATTTCAGTTATCACAAATGAGATCAGGGATCAAAGGCAGGCATATGCAAGGTTTTTTAGCAAATGCTACTCTAACGATAAGACATCGCCAAGTAATGGATGCATATAAATATTCTTCTAGAAGGATCATCTTTATCAACTAGCTTTAAAAACTAGTCAAGTCTTCAAATTATGCATGAGGAAGTAGTTCAGAGAATAAGAGTTGGGAGTGTAAATGTGTCTCCTCGGCAGGGAGGGAAGTGGGAAGGCTAAAACCTGGAGTTTTTCTGAGAAGGGCCAGCCTGCTTTTATCTGCTAGAACAGCTGCAGGTAGGCTGTTAAAATGATGCAAATGACGGGAGGTGATTAGGTGAAGGGGCAAGTAGAATGCTCGAAAGGTTGAAGAGTAATAAAAGGATTGTGGAGGTGATGGGCAGGGATCTGTTGGTTACAGGGGAAGGGGGAAGAAGACATCTGATTTCTTTCCCATCTTTTGACTGATATAATCCAACCCAGCATGTTCTTTGTTACCAGATTACAGGAAGCTTTAGACTCGGGTTGAGTCTAAGGAATGCCATAATGATTTGTAGAAAGATTTGCTCTTTCATGGTATGATGTTGGAGATGTGGCATGTTTCACTGAGACCTGGCAAGGCACGGATGGAGTAATCTCTCTGTACCCTAACCTCAACTCCAGAATAGGAGGGAATGGTGGTGCTAATAATTTCCTGAGACTCAGTATTGTTCTGCAGGTGACTAGGTTGAGATCCTATCGGTAGCTGGAAGTTTTTACTGGTATACCAGCAATTTGCTCCTTCCTTGACCTCTTCAGCCTCATTGCCAGGCTAAAGGTTGACTCTAGCAAGTTATTTGTGCTGGAGGACCTCCCTTCCGTAAAGGTCGAGTCAGTGAACTCAGGAGTTCATAGCTACAAGACAACTAAATCATAACAGTACTAACTCCTGTAGTCCAAGTCAGTCTGCTCTTCACCTCATTGAAATTTGTTTGTGATCTGAGAGTAGAGGACATTAACATCAGTTGGTTGTCATGCACTGGTCAACAACCAATTATTGTGATATTCATAGCCACCACTGATCGGTTGTGTAGAGAACAGACACATTAAATTGATGCCCCCCCGCCCCCGCAGTCATCTTATAGAACTGAATTTTTTCCAACAGTTATTTGGGAAATTTCCCAGTAAAAAGAAAGTAATTCTCAGGTATTGCTCCAGTGGTGGGATTCAATTTTTTTTACTACCGGTTCTGTGAGCGTGGCTTGATAGGTGTGGCAGGGGAATGGCACTGTAAAATCTCCAGTTAGAGGTATTTTCCGGTTCTCTGATCTACTCAAAATTTCTGCTACCGGTTCTCCAGAACTGATCAGAACCTGTTGAATACCATCAATGTATTGCTCCCAAGTGACTTTTCTAAGAAACTGGGGGGTGCAGTCTTTTCTGTGGTGGCAATTACAAACAAATAAGTAGCTTTTGATTTTAAAAAAAGCAAGATATTTATTGCAGTCATGAATCCTTAATTGTAAGAATATAAACATGTTGCAAACTACAACCTTCTGCTTAAAGAATGAAAACACAAAAGGTTACTTTTCAAATAGCACAGAGAGATAGTTCAGCAATGATCCAAGAAAGAGCAGAGAAAACAGGTTCCAATCCAAATTTCAAACAGATAATCCAACAACATCCAAAGCATAACACAGAGAGGGAAGAAAACAAAGTGATGGAATATTGATTGTACCAACAAGTAGTTTAAGCTGCTGTGTCTTTTCCTACCACTTTGACTTAATTTGTGGAGTCATGCTTCTTTAATTCAGAGAAAAAACTTGATTCCTGGTGCTCTTCTTAATTTGAAATGTGTTGTTGAACTCAAGTCATTCTCTTTCCCTCTCCCTACCCCACTTTCAATCCATCACATTATAAAAACGCCCATCTCCCACACAGAGGTATGCTGCACTGTGTACAAATAAAATATTAAAAACATTTAAAAAAACCAGTATATTTTCAGCTAATTCAACCTAATTCTAAGTCTCCCCAGGTGTGCTCTCTTTAGCTAATTTCTTTGGGCCAGGCTGGGACTCAGACTGGTCAAATATCCAACTTCTGAATCTGAACACCCAGGCTGATTCTTAACCGGGTCATGGTTTAGGGCGGAGCTCGAGAAGATAAAGCACCTATAAAGATGACTGTTGTAATGATGGTGAAAGACAAGAAAGACCAGACATGGGTACAAGCTGACATTTTGGCCTATATTCTGGCTATAGGAGTGATTAGCTGAACTGCAGAGTGTTGATTTCCCTCTTTCATAGCACATTTCAGGAATGTGTTTACAATATAGTAGTATATTTTATATATTACAATACAGTAATGCATTATATATTTCATATAATTTTAAGATGTTGCAGTTTGGATTTGGGGAAGGTTTTTCATCTACTATTGAAAGGTAAACAACATGTAAAAAAGATTGTAATAAATGTTACATGATGCATTGCATTATATTTTACATACTGTAGATTCAAAAGAATAAAATAGTTTTTCTTCTATTTCTGTGTTTTCTGGTTCTTTGCAGATATTCTCCTGTTTGGCTGACAAAAGGTATGTTGGCTGTTCTGTTGGCCTAAGTTCATTGTTGAGAGATAATATCTATGTTTTTGCCCTTGGATGAAATACAGGAATGCAGTAATTGAAGTCTCTGGAGTAGATGAAGCTTAGGTATCCCTTTACAAAGTATGGTTCACCTAAGTATTATTGTGCTTAGTTTAGTGTATATGGTTACTTATTTCAGTATATACCATAAAAACTAAGTATGTACAAGGTACTGTTATTAGATTAATCCATTTTGTGAGTTTTCACAATACATTGGACCATAAAGTAAGCTAGAGGGCTGCATTTACATATACAATGGACAAAAGACACATGTAATTAAAACTCACTATGCTCCATACATTTAACAGATGCAGCCAGGAGGTCTTGACTGAGCAATTTTCCTTTTCACCTTCCTCTTTCTCTGAACAGGATGTGGGGGAATTTTCTGTGCTTGGCTACAGGCCAGTTTAAGAAAAGAAGAGCCATCATTTAGAAATTTGGGTTGAGTTCCAAAAAATGAGACCACAGGTTTGGATTAGTGAAGCCAGATGCAGTATAGATTTTATACTGGAATGTGGGAATGGCCTTGGAAGTCAGGTGTTAATTTCCAATAAAGTTAGTAGTTCTGGGTGTACCTCTTGTCTGGACTGCCTTATAAAGCTGACAGGTTTTGCTTTATTTTATGAATAGTGATCTCAGCTCCAGCATTATGTTGTATGTTGTGAGAGATCCTATGTTGACAGAGTTGACTGAGATCTGTTTCTTCAGAAGCAACTGATCATTCCCTTTCTCCTTAACCACACAAAGAAAATAAGAGAAGAAAACAAGTGCAATGATCATAAGGAGGATGAGGATCCTCAAAATTAAATAATTAGAGAAAGGGTGAAGGGGAAATAGAAGCAAGCAGCAAAGCAAGCTTGAATTCCTCATCCCCATTTTTAATTAAAAGCATGACAGTCTAGTCAACTGCATTTTAAATCCCCTCAAACACATTAAAGACAAAAGTTAGAATTAATAAGGTTGTTTAAAATGGCAATGATAAGCATTGAAGTTCCACTTGAGAAAGAGAAGCTCCTAGGCTAAATATTCAGCCATCAAAACTTAGGCTAGACATCCTCATTATCTGAGCCTCAGAATTAGCAAGCCTCAATAAAACATGTGTACTTTATTGTCAACTGCAACCTCCTATCTCCAAGACCAGCTGGGCTAATCCTCAAAGAGGTTATCAAGGCCACCTATCCTGTGAAGAAAAAGCAGACAATAAGAGAATCCCATTTCCCTGTGCTGAAAAGCTTCCTTCTTTACAGCAGCCATTGGGGATTGTTTTCCTGGGATGATGACAGGGCCATCTCTGGGGGGGGGGGGGGGGTAATGAACTCATCTTGGTTTTCAGGAATGACAACATAAATGAAACATCAAACACTGATGTGCAAATTGCTTTGCTTAACTTTACCTTTGCCATTTCCTTTGCCACCTACTTCAT